GCAGTAAGAAGACTATGTTTCTTCCAGTGATGTTCCACAGTTGTTTATTTATTTAAAGTTACAGCACATATGTATGCACTTCTGCCCGATTTCCCCAATTCCAGCACAGTTATTTGAGTGCAATGTTGCTCCTCCACTAGGCGCCATACCAACAATTTTTTATTCTGAAAGAAAAATATGTACAAATATGGCCTAGGCAATGCCATCCAGCCCCATACTAGCAATTTTTTTTTTATTGGGCAAAAAAACTAGGTTACAAAAGTGGCCTAGGCAATGCCCATCCGGCCTTCTGTAGCACATTCTACAAACTTCTCTTTCTGTAGTAGCGGTGAGCCCGCAGTTAATTCGCATCTTAGCGTAAATTTGAGAATGTTGTGAGTGGTCCGTGCCATTTCCTCTTGTTCTTTCCTTACGTATCCGTTTTAAATATATATGGGAATGTTGTTTATGAAGTAGCAGACGCCTTGCAGAAATCTCTTTTCTTCTAGCCTCAAGAGCTCTGTGACTGATTTTGGGTAGTGCTTTTTACTGTTCTCGGAGAGGATGCCCATCATTATTGCCCTTCGGTCGTCACACTGTTTGCAATCCCAGAAAATATGTTCCTCCGTTTGCAACCCGTCACCACATTCACATTCGGCCGTGGGCACAATGTTAAATCTGTTTAGACTTCCTTTNCTATCTCTGCCTTCTTTAATTGCTAGCTTTGCCTGCGAGTCGACCCTCTCATTAATTTCGACTCCACAGTGCCCCGGGATCCAGTAGAATTGGATTTTTTTCCCTCGTGATTCGAGTCTCTCTGTTTTATCCTTTAGCATGTGGATGATGTGCGATGCGTTGCTTATTTTAGTGGGGTTACCAATGCTTTGTAACACGCTTGCCGAGTCCGAGAAAATCGTGAAGTTTTGCCCGGATTCTGTTTTTCCGATGATTTCAAGTGTTTCGGCAATTGCTAATGCTTCTGCAGTGAATATGGACGCTATCTTGGATATTCTGAATTTCATTCGACGACCATCGTTTATATCTATCAGTGCCAATCCTACAAAAGGCTTGTCCACCATTTTTGAGCCGTCCGTGGCGAAACTTTTGCTGGTCCTAATTCCCATACTAGCAATATTGGGAACCCAAAACTACTGCCATCTGTTGGCTGTACCTAGAATTTCTGAGGAGGTAGAACAATTTTTGATGAGGTCTTGAAATTTTAGGTGTGTGTGCACATGCATGCGCGCCCACATGTGGTATAGCATTTGTGGCAGGAAGAATGACATCTTTCTTCAGTTCAAAGGAAGTGTATAGCATTGGTGACAAATTACTGAGGAATTTCTGAAGAGCAATGAGGGTGCGAAGACACTAAACTGTCCATTCAGAAACTGTAATAAGAATGTGCCATCTGACATGGTCACTGTACTACGTATATACCAAAGTGAAAGGTGTTAAAGTAGCTATCAAAACTGAACAGGCACATGTTTCAGTCGTCACGATATGCTGGTTGGTTAGTGTGTAATCATCATGTGCAACCAGTTTATGATACAGAGCAGTTATTATAGCTGTAAAAGGGCATAAGTCCTTCTGTTTGCACATCACCAGTTTGAAAAAATATATTCAGTAGGAAATATCATGTTATCTCAGAGATGTGGAAAGGAAACGTTTGGAAGTAAATTTTGATACACATTATATTCATCAGTATTATGATATTTCAGCCATACACCCAGAGGAATCGTCTGAAAAATAGAAACAATATTTACATTTTATCTTGAAAATTTGTATCTATCCTAGAAATGCTAAGATTTATGATAATTTTTTAAGCGAGGCGCAACAACCAAACCAGTTTCACATTTAACACACTTTTAGTTTTTGTTTGAACATAGTTTGGGGTGATTAATAATGCAATTTGTTGCCCTCTGTAAGTGCATTTTGACGCTTAGGGTATTTGTCTCTCTTTGATCATTATTTGGCAAATTAACGGGGTTCTGATCGGGACATCCCTTTAAGATTTGAGATTCTCACAGCAGTAATCATGAAGATTGTGGTTGTATGGTATGTAACTGCATGTAGGTCAATGGGTATCTTATTTTTTCATTGCAAGCTTTTTTATTTTTGTCCTGAACATTTACAGGCAAGATGATACATACTGATGAAACCTTCTACTCCCTACAGCAGTTGAGGCATTTGTCCCAGCGATACACAGTCTGTTCATTTCCAGCAGAGACGAAATTATTGCACCTTGTACAGTAATGGTGTCTCTTCACTTTTACTGCATGAGTCAGGAGATGATAAAGAAGAAGAAAAAGCAGAAGCATGCCCTGTGCATCCTGAAATTTGAACATCAACTTCCTGCGGACTGGTGGAAGTTTGTTGCCAGGCTGCCATTCAACCCAAACCTTGCATTTTCCACTTCTGTGGCTTACTGATAATGCTCTTAGAAGCATAACACTTTTAACATGTTGGTGAGATGAAAGCTGATGTGCGCTGGTAGGTGCAGAGACTTGCCCATTATTGTTCTCCAGAGGAATCAGACATAGTGTATCCCTAGAACAAATGTCTCAGTCTGGCGGTTATGTGGAGAAGAAGCGGGCGTGTCTGTTGTTCCTTGTGCCATCATGTTGCAGTCATAAATGCATGTTCATTGCACCCTTGGATGGCCCTTACTCAAACACCCCTCGTACTTTTTGTAAGCTGTAACAAATACATGAAAAAAAAATGTGACTGACATGATTTTCCATGATCATAAGAGACTCGCAAGCTGTGAGAGGCAGTTGAGAAGTCTCCCGTTTGTGAATATGTTATGGTACATTATTCTATAGGGGGCATGCAGTAGCATAGTTGCTTGAGACACTGTGCTACAAGCCGGAAGGTCGCAGGTTCGAGTCCTGATGTGGATTTTTTAAGTTGACCTAATCCTTCCAGCCACACTATGGTACTGGAGTTGACTCAACCTCTAACAGAAATGAGTACCAGGAATTTTCCTGGGGGTAAAGGGCTGCTGGCGCGTAAGGCTGACAAACTTACCTCCATCTGTGAGCCGATTGTCTAGATAATGTGGGAGCCTCAACGTCTCACAACCCTTTGGGCCTCCACGGCCTGGTACAGGGATAGCTTTACCTTTACCTTTATATTGTTCTATAAGTACAACAGACAGTTCATAAGAATGTGAATTAGACTGTGTGACTGAACATGGAGGTGATTTGTCACCTGATTATTAAATTTTTCTGTCTCCACTTTTGAACAAAAATGAGATAGAACACTTTTCTGCTTCTCCATATCATGCTGCACTCTTCACCACACATCCTCCTGTAGGTTTACCTTACTGGCAAGTGTGAGATTTAGGAATGTATTTTATGTATGTATTACATATAAACTGCAGTTCAAACCAACTCAGTATCGATGGGTGATGAATGAACAATTTGCTACTTAAGATGAAAGCGGGGTTGACTTTTATCGTTTATTGTTTTTAATGTCAGGGTCATGTTGCAACTGACGGTCGGTCAGTCTGTCTGTCTTGGTGTCGAGCCCCATCATTTGAATGAAAGTTGCTGTCTTGTCTATGTGGGGCGCCCTCTCTGACAAGAGGTCAGGTCTGTCATTTGTCAGTCAGTCTGTATTAATAAGTCCACTGTCTGTATTTACATACATTTACATATACACCCTTACTCCTTACTTCTATGTACAGTATATACAAGGCCTCTGTCAGTCCAGGCTCAGTACAGCAGATTATGCCCTATTTCTAGTATTTGTTACAACAGCAGTCTAGTCACTTGAACGGTCGTATGCCTGACCGCCGCCAAGTTTAAGCCTCTTATACTTTCTATGTCGGGCTTCGCCTTGTCTGATGTTGCGAACATTCTCATTATCATGATTTTGTATGACTTCTGCTTGGTGCCTGCATAATTTTGTTATGTAATCATATACGTATGGAATTTTGAATGCCATGTGCAAATCGTGGACCGTTGTGCGCCTTGGAAAATTGCCAGTCATGCGGAGAACCTTGTTTTGCAGGTGCTGCAATTTCACTAGATGGGTGTCTGCCGCAAATTCCCAGGCAGGACTAGCATAAGTCATTACGGATCTAATGAGAGTTTGTGGAGGGTCAGTTTAATGTTAGCGCTCAGTAGCTCAATTTTGAATTGGGAATGTACTCTAATGAATCTTCTGAAGGCCTTGGCTTTGATCATTTCTCTGTGTAATCTCCACGTCACTCTCTTATCGAAGTTTACACCTAGAAATTTTGCACTATTTACAAATGGAATGTTTCTTCCCTTTAGAGTAAGACAAGACTCAGGTGGTCAACGACTATGAAAGAAGTAGACCCCCTGAGTCTTATCTTCGTTAATTTATATATTCCAGTGCTTACACCAGGTCTCCATTGAGCTGAGACCGCGCCAGAGTTTTCTAACAATAAAAACCTCCTTGCAATCTGCTGCATACAGACAGTGTCATTCGCAAAGAGGGCCAGGTGAACACGATGAGTTGGGGTGGCATCATTTATATACAAGTTGAAAAGAGTAGGGGAAAGGACAGAACCTTGTGGCACCCCTGTTTTGGGTTTGACATTTCACCTTCATCCGAGACCCTGAATGTACGTTTAGAAAGAAAGGACCCAATGAGTTTAGTCAGCCTGTTCGAGAATTCCAATTTTGATAACTTATACAGCAATCCTGAGTGCTGTGTTGTATCAAAGGCCTTTTCAGTGTCCAAGAGCACCGCAGCCATAGACATTTTATTGTTGAAATTAAGGATCCCGTGGTCCGCCAGCCTCATACATTGCAATGCTGTGCTGTGACGTGCACGAGAACCAAACTGGCTTGTGTTAAGCAGGCCTCTTTCTTCAGTATGTTTTTGGAGGAAATTCAAAATTACTTTTTCGAATAATTTTCCTGTCTTGGACAGGAGGCTGATCGGGCGTAAATTTTGAGGGGATTTCGGGTCTTTACCGGGTTT